CTCGAGGGAAATCATTGATATATAAAAGAAAAAGTAAGGGTCCAAGAATGCTGCCTTGTGGAACACCCATGTCACAAACTAAAGGTTGAGATATGACATGATTAATTTTGACTGTCTGCAACCTGTTTGTTAAATAAGAAGAGAGCATTTCTATCACAGATGAAGACCTTTCAAATGAGTGAAGTTCATTTAGCAAGATCTGGTGGTTCACTGTATCGAAAGCTTTACGGAAATCAATAAAAATAGCTCCAGTGATGTGACCTTTGTTAAGAGAGTTATGCAATTGCTCAGTAAAGAGTAGTAACGCCGACATGGTTGATCTCTTAGCACGAAAACTGTGTTGACAATCACTGAGCCAGTTATTAGTTTCAAGGTAAGAGCTTAGCTGATTATGCAAGACTTTTTCCAGCAACTTAGACATTTCTGGAAGTATTGCAATAGGTCTGTAATTTGAAAGAAGAGTGTGATCATCAGATTTAAAAATTGGAGTAATTTGTGCTGTTTTCCAGTCAGTAGGAAAAATAGAAAGCCTGATACAAAGATTAGTTAAATGCAGAAAGAGAGGTATGAGGCTATTAAACCATAAATATCATGGACATGAGAACTTTTTAGCAGATGTAATATTTGTATCACCTCTTTCTGTGAAATCTAAGAAAATGAGAACTGATCAGATGTTAAGGGGAGATCAGGTGAGGACAAAAAGGGAATGGCAAAATGCATAGCCAATTCTTTAACAGATGATACAAAATAATCATTGAAAGCATTTGCAATCTTTTCTGAATCTGAGATAAGAGTACCCCGTAGGGAAATTTGAATATTAACATTATTTTTCTTCTCATTTTCATTATCACCGGTGATGGCCTTAAGGGTCTGCCATAGTGTCTTTGGGTTGTTAGCAGATTGGGTAATTTGCTGTTGAAAATAGACCGCCTTAGCCTTACGCAGTTCCAATTACATTTATTTCTAATTTGTATAAAATTATTTTTACTCTCAGATGTTCAATTTAACCTATACAATTTAAGAAGAGAGTCCTTCAATTTAAGGAGTTGAAGTATTTCAGAATTTATCGAAGGTAATTTATTTTTTCTTGGTCGAACCTTGCAGGCAGTAGTATATTTATTTTGTATTTTATGTAGTTCAGTATGAAATTGCGTTAGGATTTGTTCTGGATCTTCTAATGACAGCTCATCACTCCAATCAGTAGCACTAAAATCAGCACTGAATTGTGATAGTTTTGAAATTGGTATTTTTGATACAGAGTGGGGAGAGCATGAGTTTTTTTGGATTTTAAGATTTTTCTAACTGCATAGATGAGTGAATGATCTGAAATAGCCACATCTAAGACACCAGACATTGCATGTTGCATGTTTTGCCAATTCTTGTTGGATCCTTAATTAATTGATACAATCCGAGTTTCAAATTTTGATGAGCTATCATTCCAGTCAAGGTTGATATCACCCTGAATTACAAGCTCCTTTGATGTAACAGATTTAAATTATGTCAGAAAGCTGAGATAGATAAAAAACTTTCACTGACATTAGGAGGCTTGTAGGTGACAATAATAGTAATTGCATGTTGAGGTGAAAATTGTATGATCAATTTCAATGTTTCAGTATCGGTTTCAACTTTTGATATTAAGTGTGCATATTTCCGACTCACATAGAAAGCCACTCTTGTCCATCCAGTCTTGCTAATGCGATCTTTACGATACAATTCATAATTTTCAATTGAAAGAAAAGAATCAGGAATATTGAAAGTTAACCATGATTCTGAGATTGCCATTACATGTGCTTTTGACTGCGCAAGCAAGATAAATTCGTCTAGTTTGGAAACAATGCTTCGGGTGTTTAAATAGCACATTTTAAAGCCTCTGGTGCTACCAAGTTGACTTAGATTAGTTGGACTTTTTCTTAGATGAGGTGTTCTTCTTTGTAATTTAACTGTTTTGACTAAAGGACTAAGAGAAGATAGGCCTACTTCAGAGGGTAAAATGGAGGAGTGAAGGTAATGACTGAAAATCTAGGATGGGGAAAATAATCGCGAGTTATAGGTAAAAACATACGGCTGCGGAACAGCAATAAAAAATATGGTACAGTTTGCATATGCATAGGCCTATAATCCCCACAAATGCAATATGCCTAAAGTTGTCATGAAAGTATCTGAGTCAGGCCCGGGATTAAGCTCAACATTTCCGATAAACAGGAGAATAGTTATTAAAAGTCTTGATGAACTTATATATTTGCACTTATTTTCATTTTCATTTGGATTAACATCAGTTACCCATCGGTGAAAAATAATAGCTCGGATGGAAAAGGACAAAGGCTGATGAGAAACTGGTTGGCCAGAATTTTTAAATACAGACCTCTGGACAGAATGTAATGTTAACCTGTTGTTAATGTTAATCTGGGCCGTGGTGCAGTAAACTCCGTTAGCACAGGAAACTCCGCCGACGACCGGGCACTTGGCAATCGGGCACACCCGCACAGAGCAGCCGCCCCGGGGGGCCAACAACTGTCCATCCTGGAGGGCCCACCGCACCCCGAGGCAGGTCTCAGCATAGCGCAGTTCCAGAAACGTCCGCAGCGCACCGACTGTACTCTACTTGTGAAAAATGCTCAGTATTGATTTGATAGAAAACACGTTTACGGAGTAGAATACCGCTGCTGCCTAATGCATCAATGTGTATCTGCGGATACAGTTCATGTATCGCAACTGTCAGTCATTGTCAGTATGTAAAAGTCAAATAACCGCACTATATTTGATTGAATTGTAATGTAGCCTACCTCTTTTTTCCCCTCAATCTGCCTATACCTACTTATATTTCAGATTGAGATTTTCTTGCATTTTCCATAAATCCCCAGGAGAATGTGGCTCTCTGTGCTGCATACATACTGTATAGCTGGCAAGAGTCATAATGATGGAGAAGTAAGTTTGAGAGTGACAAAGCCATGGGGAGATAGATGATTATTATAGTAGCATCCTCCACACATCTACCGAATAATCCTCACTAAGCTCCTCTCTCACTGTGAATAGATGGTTTCTTAATGATGATGGTTTCTCTGTGACCATTTAAGAGCAGTGAAAGGGGAGGTTAAGACTCATCACCTATTTCCTTTTTCTGTGTCAGATACTCTCCATGGGTCCTGGTAAAGTTTACCAATACACCATTCATCTTTTCATTAGTGTCAATCAGGTGCCACTTGTGGTTTTCACTTGTTTTAAGTCAATACTTCAAAGTACTGCTGACCATTTCCCAAAGAATATGGTATATGTTTCAGGCAATCACTGGTTTCATTTCATTACAGGGTGATATCAGAAACTTAAAGGCAATCCACCATAATGATGTTTGTTGCTTTTATTGTAGGAAAGTTGTATAGATGGTTAAATGGCCTTGAGATGACCAACAAGAAGTTTTCAAAAAGTCCTTGCTCGAGGTGGCATTTATTCCACAAAAATAACAACTTGGATCAAATATAAATACTAAATTAGCTACATTTTCACTGTGTTCTCAAGCAAGCTTCATGTCTTTGTAAGCTGATTTCTGGCGGAGAAACCAATGGCCTTGAAGCACAAAAGATATTTAAAACTAAAAACTTTGGAATCTAAAAACCTGCCATGCTTTGGGAAAAGATCAGCAGCAATGTAAACCATGTGCACAGTGGCAGTTAACAGGCTAAAGCATGCAAAAATGTCCGGTTTTAAGCTTGGGCTTAAAGTAACAAGGTGATCTTGCCTATGTAGACATGTCTGCACTTAACGCTTCAGTGTGAACTATTTCTTCTGACATCGTTTGAAGCAAATGACACCTTTGACACTTCTCCATGTACTTCCCAGATACATGAAAAAGAGAATTACAGTTGGGTTATACTGTGAATCTGAACTGCAATTATGCTGCACGCACTGTCCAGAATGTCATTTCCTCTTCGTTGGAGGAATAAGTCTTCCCTGACTTTACTTTCTGTGATTTGAGCAGAAGTGCAGCTCCCACGCAGGGGTCTGTACTGTTCAGAACCTTCATTAAGAAAACTCTCACCACAACCGCCACCTAATCTCCTCTCCTCATCACCACCTACTTCCACAGCTTTCTTCCATCTCACAACATTATTAGGACAATGCTCACTCCTCCTTTTTTTACATGCTCGGTCGCAGAGGTTGCAACAGTTGCATAACAAACCCATTCTCAATTTGCCTCGCTATTATGTTTTAGATTTGATTCCTCTCCCTCTATTTTTATTTGACTCCAGATTCATTCAGCGAACCCTATGTCTGTAACAATCTGTTCTGTAAGTCAAAAAGACAACCTCTTATCAAAAGCAGTTGTTAACCACAAGGCAGTATGGCCCATTTACTCACAGACATAGACACTATCTCTAGGCTTTAAGGATATGTGTTTACCTACTCACTCATTCTATCATTCATTTGCATTAATCACAGTCTCCTTCCCATGTTATTCCCATTATGGGTCTATGGTTTGTTTGTTCTTTTTGATTTTGCTCAGGTAGCAGTAAATGTTTGATATCTATTAATAATTTATGATCCTATCATCTATTTTTGATATTAAGAGTTCAGTTGCAAGGCTTCCGTGTAGTCAAATACCATCCTCCACTCAAACAATTCCCCTGAAAGATTAAATTAGATCAACCAACACTGGCTAAAAAGAATGTTTTTTGACCCTGTATATATGAGCCAGGATTTAGTGTTGAAGGATTCACAGTGTGAGTCGCAACCTTTTATTCTTTTAAAACTAAAGCGTAATTAGAGACCTTCAACGAGCCACATGGGTGAAGCTAATGGAATCTGTGCAGCACGTGATATGCACTTGATAAAGGTGATTGCTCGCAATGCAGGATGGCACCCACACATAGTTTCAGACTATTGATGCATGAAAGCACCACCGCACCGTATTCTTTATGGATGCACAACAACAGTGTTCAAGTTATGATAACCCAGATGGTCTAGACGGCTGCAGCTGCTGCAGGCAAGACAAAGAAACTCCTCACCTGTAGAAGTAGGAGCAGCCTCGCACTGTGTTGTGGCTGAAATATTCCTGGGTTTTCTCATTGCCAAAATCCTCCAGAGGATCAGCCCACAACAGGTCACACATGGGCCCAAAAGCCGGCGGCTCCTTGAACCGATCCAACTTAACATAAAGAAGCAGAAATTTAGGTTGTAAAAGCTCATATGCACAAACACAAACAACTAAGTAAGACCTGGTAGTGCTGAGGCAGGAGGTTATTACCTTTTTTATGTCTTCTAAGGTGTGAATTTCAGGTGAGAGTCCACCATGGACACACAGAAACTGTTGGTTCATGAGTGCAGCCAGGGGAAGGCAGTCAAATGCATCCATACATGAGTCATACACCTGCTCCGAGTACTTGATTTTACCTGACCGAAGACAGAAATGTAATTAGCTGCATCGTTTGCAAAATTAATATGATGTGTTGGTTTGTTCCTGTGAGTCACCTTTGATAAGTAAACAGATAGAAATAGTGTTTGATTATACAGTGCATACATAGTATGTACCACAATATTAATATTAAAACGAAACTTTTTTTAATTAATCCATGTACACAATTAAGGCTGTACTCATACAGCTATAAATTTTCATTTGTTGACAGACAATTTCATCCCCTTTTTGCGCTGTCATACAGAATTAACAGTCAGGTGCACCAAAAGTGCTACCGGCTACACATGAAATTAGCAACACAAACAGAGGGGGAAGAAAATACAAACAATATGAAATACACTGAGAGGTACTCACATTCTTGTTTGAAGGTGAAATATTCTGTCAAATGTCTACATTCATGATTTCCACGAAGTAAAAATAGTGTCTTTGGATAGAGGATTTTCAGCGACCAGAGGTATAAAACACACTGTCAAAACAAACACATAAACAAAGTGTTATTCCACGCTTTCTGCTGTTTGTTTACCCCATGACATACTTAATGCTATTCCGATGGTTTTACCTCAATACTGAAGTAGCCGCGGTCAACGTAGTCCCCAAGGAACAGGTACCGTGTTGTGGCTGGTGATCCTCCCACTTCAAACAGCTTCATAAGATCAAAGAATTGCCCATGAATGTCGCCACACACTGGAACAGAAAGCAAAGCGCAGCAAACGTTACCAAATGAATGAATCTGACTGAATATCTTTGTCTGCATATTTGTGTTTTTCCTGTATGTGTGCACATCCATATTTTCTTTGCAACAGACAAAAAACACACACTCCTCATGTTCAGCACAGGTCATTTTGGAAAATTCCATTCAGTTTAACAGCTACAGTAGCCTCGCCACTGGTTTACAAAACTCTCAAACCTGTTGTAACTTCTGAAACCCCCTCAAAAATGATTGGATACAGTTGTAAATGTACTGTCACGATGCTAGAAAGATTTTGGAGATCTTTCCAAATGACAGCGATAATGTGTGAGTTTACATGGATGTGTAACGCCGGCATTTGTATTGGTTCTGATTGCCTGAAGAGCTGGTCGAGAATATTCTGGCAGGATATCATGGAAGTACTGAGTAGTGCTCTTTGTGTCAGAGGTGTGTATCTTCGTTTTCTGCTCATAGGTTAACATAAATAGACAGACAGGTGGGCAAGCAGGCAGAGCAACCTCATGGAGGCGCTACAGTTTGTGTTCATATCTGCATCTCAACTGTTTCAATAATTTGATAAATTTAAGATATCAAAGCAATAAACTTACATTGGGCTCCTTGTTAATAATGATGTTTAATGTATGTACAATAAATGTACAACAATTTGACCCCTCTCAAATGTCAGTATTAAAACAGTTGTGACATGCGCCATTAGCTCTTACTCGTATTTATTAGTGCTCTTACTAATATGTATTGTCAGTTGATGATATCTTACTGTATTGATACTTTGTTGATGCTGGTATGTTGTTTCTCAAATGTAAGTCGCTTTGGATAAAAGCGTCTGCCAAATGAGTAAAGGTAAATGTAATTGTAATGATATTGAAAGTACATTTGATAGTAATTTCTCGTCCTTAGGTCGTCATCGTGTTGAGATATTTCTACGGCCTTTGGCTGAAAGGCCTCTGTTATCGGCAGAGAAATAAGAAGCTCTCACCTCAAAAAGGTAGGAAAAGCTCAAGGCCCCAGGGACATACATACTTTTTTTGCAGTGAATGCTATGGCTCTGGAGTGCAACCCTATATCTCATTTCCTCACTGCCTTCAATTTTTCATTATCATCTTCCTCTGTCTCCTCTCCTACTCATCCTCCATCTCCTCTCTCTTTTCTGTCTCCCCTATCAGCTCCACAGTGGCCTTCGCCCACTCAAAGCTTAGAGCAATGTGAGTGGGAGACTGCTTGTGTGACTAAAGCAATCAAACACACACATGCGCACATACATAACACGCGCATACACAAACACCAGAAGAACACATCCATGCAAGTAAAGACTCACAAGTGCCTAACTGCTTCATAATATAAGACTATACACACACACACACACACAGCTGCAGAGACATCCAAACGTAACTCAAGCTCACAAAGATATAAAACAGATCTCCACAGTCACAAATGCCTGTACACAATACTCACTTCATCATCCATATTTCATGCTTAATACATAAAGCCTCCATTTTCCTGATGCCAGTCAAGATGAGGAGCAGGAGACTTCTCCTCAACTCAATGTGCATTTCAGCCATTTGCCACCGTCTTTTCAGCTAAACAATGTCCTTGCTTTCAAGTAAGACAATTAAGACAATTACATGTATATTTAATGTCACGTAATTTTGGGTGATACTGAATGACTATAAATAAACAGAACATAAGAATGTGGCCTTATAATGCACCAAAATCAAATGTCTTTGACCTAGACTGCTCTATAGTTAGTCCACTTGTTTGATGATACTAAGGTGAGCGCCTTTAGGTTTGTCAATTTTCTGAATTCATATGTGTATTAATACATTCATTGGCTAAATGTTGGCTAATATCTCCGTTCAGGTTTTAAAGGTGTAAAGTAAAAAAGCATTTATTTTAGATGCAAAGAACAAAACTTGACGAACAGCTTGAAGAAAAAGTCTTGATTAATTTCTCTTGATGGGAAACTGTAAACACACAAGATAAAAATATTTTTTGTCTGGTTCAGACTAAAAACTATTCACATAACAAAGACACACTGCACGTTGATCAGAAGGAGAGACTAAAAATGAATGTTATCTGCAAACATGTCAGATTCAGATTCACTTTATTAGCCATCTGCAGTATAAAACCACATTGGAAAAGAATATGCAAGAAGCTCAAAGTGCAACAACACAACAGACACGCAAATGCCACATAAAACTCAGTAATAAAACACTGTACAATAAAATCCATACATAAGATGTAAAGTGCCTAATTTAAAGTGCTTTGTTTAAAGTGATCACAGCTTGGGGAAAGAAACTGTTGAAATGGCGATTAGTAGAACATTTGACAGAGCGATACCTTCTCCCTGAGGGAAGCATCTCAAAGAAGGCCCCTGCAGGATGGCCTAAAGCATCATTAGCAAGTTTTAAAGCTCGATTCAAAAGTCTAGCTTTATATGTAACCTCCAGGAGCGGCAAAGTACAGCCAATGATCCTGCTGGCTGAGTGAACCACTTTGTTCAAAGCCACCTTCTTCAAGGTGAGATTACCAAACCACACAGTAATACAACTAGTTAGGACACTCTCAATTACACAATAATAAAAGTTCAAAAGAATCTTAGTATTTTGAGTGAACTCTCGAAGCCTACGTAAAAAGAAGAGGCGCTGTCTCGCTTTCTTAGCAATATTAGTCGTATTAGTGCTCCAGTCCAAATCATGCGAAAGAGTCACACCCAAAAATTTACATTTCTCAGTAATCTGCACAACGGAATCATGGATAGTAATAGGTACTTGATTTCTATTGTGACAAAAATCAATAACAAGTTCACACGTTTTTGAGTGTTCAAAAGCAAGTTATTTTCCTTGCTCCATTGAACAACATTCTCCACCTCCTCGCAATAATGAGATTCATCGTTTGAACTAATCAGCCCAGTGATAGTTGTATCATCGGCATTTTTGATTATCACATTATTAGCATTGGATGCTTCAAGGTCATGAGTATACAATGTGAACAATAGGGGGCAAGATACACCCCTGCGGTGAACCAGTGCTAACATACAACTCATCTTAAATACAACCATTGATTTTGACCCTTTGTGGTCGACAAGTGAGGAAATTAAAAATCCATTTACAAATGGCACCATCGAGTCCAAGACATTTCAATTTGTGAGAGAGCTTTGTTGGGACCATTGAATTAAAAGCCGAACTGTAGTCTATAAATAGCATTCTAGCATATGATTTATGTACATCTAGATGCTTGTAGACAGAGTTCAAAGCAAAAGAAATGGCGTCCTCAACACTTTTCTTTTTCCTATATGCAAATTGTAGTGGGTCCACAGACACAGGGATTTGATCTTTGATAAAGTCCAACACCAACCGCTCAAAGGTTTTCATCAGGACAGATGTGAGGGTCACTGGCCAATAGTCATTCAGACTCGTCACAGGTGTCTTCTTTGGCACTGGAATTATAAATGATCTTGAACTGGAACAGTGCACCTTGCAAGTTACATTTTGAAAAGATCAGTCAGAACAGGACTAAGTTGCTCGGCGCACAATTTAAGGACACGAGGAGGTCCAGGTGCCTTCTTGACCTTTGTCCTGGACAAAATCCTGTGAACGTCCTCCTGAATGATGGTAAAACTCTGCTCATTACAAGCAGGAAAAACAACAGGTTCAACATTTCCAATTTCAAAACAACAATAAAACTCATTTAATTTGTTTGGCAAGGATAGGATAGATCATCTTTAGTAATGGGTCCTCCTTTAGGTTTCCAAGCGGTGATAGAATTTAACCCTTGCCACCTACATCGTGGGTCCGCCTCCATGAAATGTCCCTCTATCTTAGCTCCATAGGCTCGTTTAGCAGCTTTAATTGCCCGCTCCAAAGAATATCTGGACAACTTGTAAGCAGCAGCGTTACCAGATTTAAAAGCCACGGCCCGCTGTTGTATTTTCCTATTCACATCACCATTGTACCACGGGTTCTGACTAGCATACCGTTTTATTACCTTTTTTGGAACACAGCAATCAATGCAAAAGTCAATGTACCCAGTCACTGCATCACAATACTCATCCAAATTATCTGAATGGAACACAGACCAGTCAGTAGCATCAAAGCATCCTTGTAGTTTCACTTCACTCTCCTTCGTCCAGCACTGAACAATACATGACGAAGGTTTTGATTGTTTACTCCTCTGTATATATGCAGGAAGAAGTAATACAGAGTAGTGATCTGATTTTCCAAAGGCTGGTCTGAGACTAGATTGATAAGCAGATTTTACATTACTGTAACAGTGATCCAGGACATGTGCTCTCCTAGTTGGATATATAACATGCTGATAGTAGTTGGGAGAAACATCCAACGAAGGTTAAAATCAAGGGCAACTGGACTTGGTTGAAGATACTGGAAGACGTTTCGTCCCTCATCCAAAGGACTTCTTCAGTTCTGACTGACTGGCAGGGAAACTCAGCTATTTAACCTCAGTGGGGTCGTTGGCCCGGGTCATCGATACCGCTGGTTCGTTAGTGTTCCTTGTTGCTGTGACGACAGTCGTTACAGTCGTTAAGACTACCTGTGGCCAAGACTGAACGACCATCGTTGGTATCTTCACCTGAGGCCTCAGTCAGAACTGAAGAAGTCCTTTGGATGAGGGACGAAACATCTTCCAGTATCTTCAACCAAGTCAAGTTGCCCTTGATTTTAACCTTCGTTGGATAACTATGACCTGGATGACTGAGAATCTTCATAGACATCTTGGGAGAAACAGTTTTAAAATTACTCTGATGAAAATCACCAGTTACTATAACCACAGCATTGACATGGGAGTTCTCAAATTTGTGTATATGTCACTTAATTCCCTAAAGGCAACAGAAATGTCTGCCCGCGGATGTATATAAACACCACACAGGAACATTACCGAAAACTCCCGTGGGAGATAAAAAGGGGCGGCATTTCAAAATAAGACATTCCTAGCGTTGCAAGTTTTGTTCACGATGACACAATCCGTGCACCATAGATCATTAGTTAAAAAACACACACCTCCACCGTTTGTTTTCCCGGTGCGCTCCTTCACCCTGTCCGAGCGGTGGACAGAGAAACCCGGCGGCTGGAAAGAAAAATCCGGCACGCCGCTGTGTAGCCACGTCTCTGTCAGACAAAACACGGAGCAGTCCCGGGCCTCGCGCTGGGACTTAATGCGGCTCAGCAGGTCGTCCGTCTTGTTCGGCAAAGACTGGACATTCGCCAGGTAGATGGACGGCAGCGGGATCCTTGACTGGCGGCTGCAGCTTCACAAGCAACACCCCCCCCTCGCTTCCCTCGGTGTCTGCGCCTCTGCCGCTGATGGCCTGTAGCGTCCACGCTCAGGGGCTTCGATGTACGGCGTATGTAGCGATACCTCCGCCCAGTCCCTTCGCTCTGCTCACGACCTCCGCGACCCAACTCCTGGCCTCGCTTGCCTCGAGTGGGGCACGCATCGAAATCAGCACACTTCAGATCAGTATTGACAAATGATACTCCACAAACTTCCACACGAATCCTCAGAAGTGTCTGGCGGCCATAGCTTAAAGTGGCATGTGCATCAAAGACAAAAACAAACATAAAACAGACAGCACATAAGAGAGCTCTTGCTACGTCGCCCTGCCTCGGCGCCATCTTGCCGACTTTAGGTTGTGATCCATGTGCACATGCTTTGAACTTTTACCAATTCATATTTTTCTTTTTACTTTAATACATTTTACCGTGATGTAGAATAAGATACTTTATTGTCACAGGTTGCAAAATTCAATCTCTGCATTTAACCCATCCCTCAAGGGAGCAGTGGGCAGCTGCAAATCAACAGCAGATAGTCAATAGCACTGACTGGAGAACCTAATATGTTTTTGGTGGTGGAAACCGACGCAGACATGGGGAGAACACACAAACTCCACACAGAAAAGCAGGGGTAACTGGGGTTTGAACCCGCAACCTTCTTGCTGTGAGGCCACAGTACTAGCCTAAATATAAATACTAAATATCTCGCCCATACCAGTGATTTTGTCTTTGAGAGGAGTTGATGAAATACAGTGTTTCTGAAATATATTTGGCCTATTTCACTTATATGACAAGAGAATGATAATTCTACCTGAAAGTGACAGTTCCCTCCTAAGATTTTACATTCATAGTTAGTTAAGTTGTCCGATACTTACAAATACCTGCAAAACTACTTACATCAGCTTCACCTGTACTTTGTCTTTAGCAAATGTTAGCACGCAAAAAGGCTAAACTGAGACAGCTGTCGTAAACAATATGCCTGCTGAACATTGCCACGTATTGTTATTGGGAGCTTGTTACCACGTCTTAGCCTTCTATTATTAACAATCATTCAAAGGATAAATCACACATTGCAATCATATATAGGACTTACGTGATTTTGTTTTCTCAGGGCAGGGTTTTACTATCCCACCATGTCATATGAAAGTAAACATTTTGTAAAAAATATAGAAAATAAACTCACAGATTTAAAGGTTAGTCTAATCGTAGACAACTAAACTATTATTTGAAAGCTATAAAGCTACTAATTTGATTTCTTTCTCCACACCAAGCTGACAAACCCACAGTTTGTCATATTGTCACCATATAAAGTTATGGCTAACATGTTACCTTCTTACACATTGATCAGACATGGAGCAACATTAGCATTCACTTGGAACTGTTTTTCTGAACATCTGATGAATGTAAGTCCAATGTTCACTGACACACCCCTACTCAGCATGATGACAATAAAGTGTAAACTGGTTTGTTGCATGTAATATTTTCAAATGCCAATGTATAACTCAAGTTTGCCTACTGTAAAACATACTTATGTGAAAAATAAAAATCAACACATTTGCAAAGTGAAGCACTGACCATCTCTAATTCAGGACCAGCTAAATATCTCTTATCAGGTTTTATACCTGTGACTGGTGCCTCGATGTCCAGTATAGTTTTCTCCTGACGCAGGATAGCGGCTCCCTCATTGACGATTCGAAGGGCCACAGCTTCCTCTACACGGCCCTCCTTGGTGAGGTGAGCCTTCAGGAGATCCACACGGGGTTTCCCTTCGCAGTCAAACACTTCCTTCAGTGTAAGGCGGTGGCTCAGGGGGAAGGGGACAGCTGAGGACAGAGCACAGTTACATGATGACATTTAAACAGCGGGAACATCACAGTAACTATGGCTACTATTAATGCCATCAAGAATACAACTCGTGAGCACTTCTGTGAGAGAATAGTCATAAACACCACTCAGGAATGACACAAACAACATATCATCAAGCAATTCATGCAGCAATTCTATGTTTCTCCTGCAGGAACTACTGTGCTGCTGCATCGATCCATCATGTATATACAATGTGGCAGGAATACCATCTTTGTCAACATGGCTTTGTTTAATATGCAGAGGCAAGTATGAGAAGCCATTTGCTTATGATCTTGTGTTCCAAAATGTCAGTAATTTTAAAGGAAACAATTAAATACAAAATACTGTATGCATTACTTAAAATATTTATTTAAATTGTTTATATAAATGACTCAGAAAATAGCATTATATTTTGAGCAGTGTGAAATGAGTGCAAAATTCGAAAAAGAAAATAAAAGCCTCTTATATCCATGCTAATATTTTCAAGCCTACTTTCAATATGTGTAAAGGGCAGCAGGCAGGATGGGTCGCTGAAATAGACTAACACACCAAAAACTGTCAGTTAATAACAGATATTCCAGTACAGATGTGTGGTTACTTGTATTTTTTTGTGTGCTGGATAAAACACAGGGAACATCTAAGCACTCTATTCATCCAGCACTCTCCCCGGATTGCTAAAGCCTGTGGCCATTAAAATGCACCAGTCACCTACCCAACAGACTGCCTGTGAAACTGTGAAATCCAACCACAGATCATTACTTCAGTGGCAGCAAAGGTTATTCATTAGATCTGGTGCTGATCTCTGCGCGCTGTGACTTCAAGCTGTCATGGTCCTGTGTATAGACATTAATCTACAGATCATCTGATTTAACACAGAAAACGGAGCTGTAAATAATTCAGATGAAAAGGGGGAAAGAAATCAGATGAAGTCCAGTAGTAAAATGCATTAGAACATCTAGACACTAACAAACTCAAATATGCAGGGGTTTAAGTAACGAATTACACTTACTCTTGTTACTGTAAGAAAGTCATATTTTTGTGCACTCAGCTGCCGGTGTGTCTGTGGGGTGACACGCTGCACTCAGCTGACACTCTAGAAAACATATGTTGAATGTGTATGTTCACTGCCCCGGTGCCCCTAACAGTGCACAAAAATGCAATAAAATGAAGGGTGTCATTGTGCATTATGGTTAAGATAAGCATTATTTATTGTTGGTTTGGACATAACCAACAATAAGCAGACATATTTTTAAATGACCTACATTTTACTTTTATCTGAATACATTTTTACACAAGGAACCGTGCTTTAACTTGAGTAAAATATTCTAGTACTCTTCCCCTCCCTGCATATATGTACACATAACACAAGCCATCAGCACTAGTAAGGGTATGCTTGCCAGATTTGTGCAGTGCATAGCAAACAGAGCAACTCAGCAGTGCCAAATGAAGAGATGACAAAGGAAGAGTCTCAAAGCTCAGGCTTAAACTGAACATGATCAACATGCTCTTTAATAATGAACGCTTGACTAGAGAAATCTCAAAGTCGCTGCTCCTGGCATAATGAGGCAAGCCCCAGCGAGTGTATTTAATGGGACTCAAATTTTCACAGTGTGCAGGGTGTATCTGTGATTGCGATGTGTGCTTTGACACTTCACCAGTTTGTACAAACTTTAGCACAGTCACCACTCAAGTCTTCTCAAGTCTTCTCAAGCTTTTAGTTTATTTAATGTCATTGTGTTGTGATGAATTTGCAATGTTTTTGCTTTGATTCTTGGCATTAACATAAACAGTACAGTGACAGCCTGCCAGCATGACAATACAGCAAATACGTATCCTAAATCAGAACTGGAAGGCATTTGCCAAAATACATCGGTAGGTACTGTAATTTACATTACATAAATGTAAAAACGTAAATGTGACGCAGAAACCCAAATCACCCACAAACTATTCTTTCAGCTTAGACACACACAGCAATCACATTTTCTTCAAACTGCCGCCACGTTTTTAACAGTAAAATGAAATGAAACTGAGCCACATGCGGATGCTTTGAAAAGGACATTATGCTTTGCTTTTTTTTTGGAGCAACAAAGGATTAAGCCCACTAATAACAAAGAAATCCAAAAAAGCAGCCCAGATAATTATCTTGAACAATGCAGTTTACAGACACACACATACAGTATGTGGACGAAGACATATCTGTATGTATGGTAAGCTGACTTCTGCTCAGCACCAGAGCATAGTTGAACTATGAAATACTGTATGTTGCTGGGCAACAGCAGCAGCAGCAGCAGCAGCAGCTGACTGTTGGAGTACAGCCAAAGCCGCCACGGAAAACGGCAATTTGCATACAAGGTTCACATAGATGCTGCTCATGCAATAGAGACGCGTTAAAATTTACTGATCATATAGAGGCGACTCATTATGAGCCCTTACTGTACACCTTTTTATGCCTCAACACACTGTTTTGAGAACAGTTTGTTTGTGTGTGGTAGGTTTGTGTTGCTAATGAGCAACCCTGGATTCAGTAAGGAAACGCTGAATGGCACCATCTGATTGGACAAACTGGACTTGCATTTACAAGAGGTCCAATCAACATGCACTACACAGTGTCAAGCTTTTAACATTATCTCATGAGAGCCTTGTTGCTTTTTTTCACCCATACCCTACAGCTCCACCAGCTATGATCTGCTTTATGTGATGTTTGAAGGGTTATGTACCTCTTTACGACGTGTGGATAAAAGCAGATCTAATCTGCCAAACCCAACTATTGCTCCATCGTTACCATTAATAAATGATTAATGTCAACATAAGTGTTGTTGGAACCAATTTGCATGTTTGCTGAAGTGAATGTTTTAGCCTGTCGCAAGGCCTGTTAAAGCTCACATGCTTCTCATATTGTAGCATACTTATTTATTTAAAGAAACAGTTTTTATCACATCAAACAATGGATAAAACAGTTACAGATTTACGTGCAGCATTTCTTTCAGAATATAGCCACTGTGACATTCTGTGAAATCAGTGCAAATATTCTTAAAGTCAAAAATATGGGAAATTATATTCTAAGATGCAGTAAGATAGGTCACAGGTGTACTACTGGCCTCATCCCTGAAATAACTGACCTGAATATGCCTCTTGATGCCTACAGCACAGTGGTGACAGTGCAGTGGAAAACAAAACTGCACACACCAGCAGTTATTGTATCTCTTAAGATACGTTCTGTCAAATTAAAACATGTAAGAGAAAAGTGGACGGGTGGGAAACTTGCTGAGGTATAATTTAGAGATTCTGCATGTATAAAGAGATAAAAATAACTCATAGTATCTTGAAGTAGCAGTGCTCAGTAGTTTGCAACATGCAATAACTGCAAGAAATGTCTCAACTCATTGACATTGTCTTCCTTTGATCACCTGAAGGATGCATGATTCAGTTTCCTGAACCTTGTTTTGTTTTTTTTCACTTTTCAGCCTTTTGGGGATTGGAAAAAACTAGGCTTTTACAACTTTTTCAAAGAGGAATAC